CTCTCTCTCTCCCTCCCTCCCTCCCTCCCTCCCTCCCTCCCTCCCTCCCTCCCCTGTAGGCTGCTCAGCCAGGAACAGGAAATTGGGCTTTCCTTAATTGGCCTCCCCTGAAGGTCTGTGTCTCCCAGTGTCACTAAATGATGAAGGCTCGCCACCATGTTCCACTCATGGCAGATGATCAGCCAACGGCGGCCATTAGCACTGCCGAGACAGATCCCAAGATCCCTTCCCAAGGTGAGGGGGATGCACGGGGACGTTCTTGCCAGTGTGGGAGGACATGTGTGCAGCCCCTTAGAGGAGCTGAGGACCTCTTAGTGTATACCTGACAAATACCTCTAGCCTCCCAGGATCCCAGGGGCAGAAAGCTCAGCCCTGTAATAGGACAGACAACTGCTTCTTCTACGCTGTGCCTCTGCAACCCAGCTCCCCACATCAGCTGCCCTCCCCAGCCATTAGAGGCTCAGCTGCAGGGGCAGGTACACTGCAGCCCTTGCCAATTTAGCAAGTCAGCCTGTCTGTTCCTGGCAGAGCTCCAGAGGCTTTTGCACCTTTTCCTAGTGGTGCAGAGAGCTAAGCATGTAGAATGAGCTGGATTTCTGAGCCTTTCTTTCCACGAACGCATCCTCCCTCGGCTAATGGCTCCCTACAAAGGCCTCTCTCTGCAACTTAAATGCTGAGGCCCGGTGTCTGGTAATGTGGGCCAGCTTCCACCCCACGGTGACACATTTAGGTCAGAGGCAGCACAGTGCCTGGCTGTCGTTCCACAGAACAAAGGCAATATACACCCAGTCATCGGTTCTCCTGCTCCTCCCTTAGAGGAGGTGCAGAGGAAGGCTGACTGCCTGCCAAGCAGAAAGCGCTGAGCTGGCTGCCTGTAAGGCCATCCTGGCCCAGCCTCCCCCTGGAATGGAGTCGGCCATGGCAGCCAGCCTCCATCCTCAGGGTCTCTGCCTTGGAATTCTGATTGAGGCTTGTTAGCAGTCCCGCCTTTATTTTGGATACCCAATACTCTAAGTCTGTCACTGCCATGACTCTGGTGTTTACTTAGCTCTACTATACATCCCCCACTGTTCAGAGTTCGACAATGCTGGACCCATCCAAGACAGATCATGGAGACCATGAGGCCCCTGATCCTTTAGTGGGCGGCGGCGGGGGGGGGGATGAAGCTCTCCCATAGAATGAAGGATGTGATGATGGAGCCCCTTGAATATCTGAGTATTCATTCCCTGTGGCTGCTAATATCACATTCTGGCTTAGCACAAAAGACACTATCTTACAGGTTGAAAGGTCAGGAGATCCAACAGGTGTTCTGGGCTAGAACAGAAGCGTCAATGGGCCAGTCCATCTGGAGGCTGGTGGAAAGACTGGCCACATCCCATCCTTTCTGCCTTCCAGAGGAACACTCTGCTTGGCTGGTGACTCCCAAAGAGCAGTGACTTCATGCTGACCCAACTCCACCTGACCCCCAGCTTCCTCCTTGCGATTGCTCTGCATCCATAGAGAATCTTGGATCTGCACATCTCAAACTGACAATTCAGTCGCATTCGCCAAGGAATGGTC